TTATATTACTTTTGCTTCTCTTCCCTTATGTTCATCTGTTTTGTACCTTAATTCCACATATGAGTGAAGTCATATGATATATATATATATATGTTTTACATTTATTTTTGAGAGAGAGCACAAATGGGGGAGGGGCAGACAGAGAAGGAGACACTGAATCCAAAGCAGGCTCTAGTCTCCCAGCTGTCAGCACAGAGGTCAACACGGGGCTAGAACTCACAAACCATGAGATCATGACCTGAGCTAAAGTCAGATGCTTAACCCACTGAGCTACCCAAGCACCCCCATATGATATTTGTCTTTTTCTGACTAATTCGCTTAGCATAATACACTCTAGTTTCATCCACATTGTTGCAAATGGCAAGATTTTATTCTTTTTGATTGCTGAGTAATATTCCATTATATACATATACACACACACACACACACACACACACACACACACACCACATCTTCTTTATCCATTCATCAGTCGATGGACATTTGAGTTCTTTCCATACTTTGGCTATTGTCAATATCAATGCTATAAAATAAACACTGGGGGTGCATGTACCACTTTGAAACAGCACACCTGGATCCTCTGGATAACTGCTGGGTCAAAGGGTAGTTCTATTTTTAATTTTTTGAGGAACCTCCATACTGTTTTCCAGAGTGGTTGCACCAGTTAGCATTCCTACCAGCAATGCAAAAGTGTTCCTCCTTCTCAGCATCTTTGCCAACATCTGTTGTTACCTGAGTTGTTAATTTTAGCCATTCTGACAAGCGTGAGGTGGTACCTCATTGTGGGTTTGATTTGTATTTCCCTGATGATGAGTGATATTGAGCACTTTTTCATCTATCTGTTAGCCATCTGGATGTCTTCTTTGGAAAAGTGTCTATTCATGTCTTTTGCCCATTTCTTCACTGGATTATTTGGTTTTTGGGTGTTGTGTTTGATAAGTTCTTTACAGAGTTTGGATACTAACCTTTATCTGATATGTCGTTTGCAAATATCTTCTCCCATTCTGTTGGTTGCCTTTAGTTTTGCTGATTGTTACCTTCACTGTGAAGAAGATTTTTGTCTTGATGAGGTCCCAATAGTTCATTTTTACTTTTGTTTCCCTTGCCTCTGGAGACCTGTTGAGTAAGAAGTTGCTGAGGCCGAGATCAAAGAGGGTTTTGCCTGCTTTCTCCTCTAAGATTTTGATGGCTCCCTGTCTTACGTTTAGGTCTTTCATCCATTTTGAGTTTATTTTTGTGTATGGCATAAGAAAATGGTCCAGGTTCATTCTTCTGCATGATGCTGTCCAGTTTTCCCAACCCCATTTGCTGAAGAGACTGTCTTTATTCCATTGGGTATTCTTTCCTGCTTTGTCAAAGATTAGTTGGCCATATGTTTGTGGGTCCATTTCTGGGTTTTCTATTCTGTTCCATTGATGTATGTATCTGTTTTTGTGCCAGTACTATACTGTCTTGATGATTAGAGCTTTGTAATACATCTTGAAGTCAGGAATTGTGATGCCTCCAGCCTTGAAAAACCTTGCTTTTTAAACTTTGAAGTATAAAATAAAAAGATTAAGTATTTCTTAAAAGGTAAGCTTTGCTCAAATGCATCACTGATATGTTAGTGCTTTCACTGCTTGGTCCTGGGCTTTTGAAGTTAGGCTTTCTCAGTTCAAATGTTATTTCCATCTCAAAACTGTCATGGATCCTGATAAATTACTAAATCTCTTGAATCTCAGTCTCCTCAATTTTAAACAATAAAAGAATTTCCAAGAAAAAGTCATAAGAGTCATATAACCCATTTATTTATTTATTTATTTTTTTAAATTTATTTTTGGGACAGAGAGAGACAGAGCATGAATGGGGGAGGGGCAGAGAGAGAGGGAGACACAGAATCGGAAACAGGCTCCAGGCTCCGAGCCATCAGCCCAGAGCCTGACATGGGGCTCGAACTCACGGACCGCAAGATCGTGACCTGGCTGAAGTCAGACGCTTAACCGACTGCGCCACCCAGGCACCCCATATAACCCATTTAAAGCCTTGACATGGTACTTGGCAGACAGCAAACGCTCAGTAAATGTTTGTGGAAGAAATGAATTTCAGTCCATAATTAACAGCTGTCTTATTTACTTTTAAAGCTTATATAGGTCAAGCCTTATTATAACGAAGTTTAAAAGCTATAGATCCCTTACTATAATAAAACCATATATTTCGTGTTTGGTCAAAATTCAAAGTTGCTTATTTGTTAAACATCTTTTTTTTTTTATTAACTGAAGAAACTTTAAGATTTTTACTTCATTTTGCTCTTCTAAATTCATCCAATTCAAGGCAGGGTTAATTGTCTCCCTATGTACCATTTTTTTTTTTTTTTTAATTTAATGAATCTAAAACACTCCAAAAGAAAACTCACCACAAACCTAAATCAACTTTACCTGCTGAAATGTCCAAACATGGCCTATGACACACCTAGACCAAAGTGAAATGCCAAGACCATACAGAGAAGATTCTTGATTACACAGGTCTTGGGGGATATAGAGTCTTAAAAACCATTCTTGAGTGAAGCTGGGTTCATTGTTCAAAGGACAATCTATATGACAGCAGAGAATATGTAAACCATAAGCAATCATTACATAGAGTATTTGAATTTAGAAACATTTGAGAGGTATCTGAGACTCTGAAAGCACCTGGGGTAAACTCTTCTGTGAACCTTTGATGTCAGAGACTGAAAAGGCTTTTACAAATGAACAAAAACCAAAGACTACGGCTGCAAAGGCAATTAGTACCAGATATTAAGGAGAAAATAAAAAGCAAATAAACCCAGAAAGGTAAATAGATCCATTCCCTACCATTCTTTGTTGTTTAACCAATTTCATTTCTTTCTTATGGAAATTATTAGAAATATTTGTTATGCATCCCAAAGGCTGCCTTCAATTTGCATTCGTGTTTAATAGTGCAGAGAACAGTACAGATGATGTAGAAAAAGCAAAAAAAAAAAGCAGAATGTATGGGTTTTTGTCAGGTCTGTCATCTCATTGAGCCTCACTTTTCTCATCTGGTGAAAATGTCTACCCTACAAAATTGTGATTACAAAATATGGTAAAATAAATGAAAATGCCGAGAACAGTGCTGTTCAATGGAAATATAAGATAAACCACAAATGTGAGCCACATATGTAATATTAAATAAAAAATTAAAAGAAGCAGGTGAAATTAATTTTAATAGTATATTTTATTTAACTCAATAATTCAAAATATTATCATTTCAAAAGGTAAATCAATATAAAATTATTAATGAGATTTTTTTACATTCTTTTTTGATAGTAAGTCTTTGCAAATCTGTGTGTATTTTATACTCACAGCACAGCTCAATTCAGACTGGCCACATGTCCAGTGCTCCATGGCTGCTTGCAGCTTGGGGAGACCCTACTAGAGAGCAGAGGCAGCTTGGGGCGACCCTACTATAAAGCCACGGCAAAGCTTAATAGGTTTATTATATCCAAACAGTATTTCTTATTAGATAAACCCTGTGGGACTTAGGAAAGCTATTTTTTAAATCAACCACATTAAAGAGAATTTGTATTTTTATATTTTTGACATAGTATGTGATATATAATACATAATACTGTGATAAGAATTTACAATAAAATACCATCTATACTGACTAGACCAAGTATTTATCCCAAGTAAGAGCAATCAAAAAGGATTATTATAAATCACTAAAGTCATTTATATTTATTTTTGTGGTTATTTTATTAGGATTTTAATTGTGTATTAATTTGGCATAGAACCTAATAATCTAAAAAAATAAAACCTGACAGAACTATAAGCATACAAATAATTCAAATACCTATAAGCTACGATTGACTTAACTACACTCCCACCAAAGAAATAGGAGTAAAGAACAAAATTTTCCCTATATTACTAAATTTTTTACTTCACAGGACTTACCATTGGTAAGTCATGTTACAGTTTTAATGGCTTTTTTTCTCATAAGAATTTAACTGTATTCTCTAAATAATAGATGACCACCTTTCATGACAACTTAATTATATGTGAATATAAGTTAAAATACTATATTTCAAAACAATTCACTGAAGTTAAAACATTAAATATTATTTGCATTACATTCATTATTAAAATTACACTGAAGAGTATACAGTCAGCAACTTCTTGTACCTTGACCTCAAAAGCAAGGTGGCAAATGTATGGAAAACATTTCCTAACTGCAAAGTCTTTCTGCAAGTTACGCACAAAGCACAGATCATGTGCATGCACATACAATTTGTATTTAAGGATGCTCTCATTTTCTGTGTATGGAGATGTTCCTGCAGTTTATATACTTTTCATCATTCTTCTCTGGGCTGCCCAATAGTTCAACACAAATGGTCAGATAAGATATAAGAGTAAAATGGAGAGAGAATATCGGATAGGTCATTGCTACCTCATTTCAAATCAGAGAAGGCCTAGTTAGTTATCTAATACCACAAAGTGTTATGTAACGTTGAACATTATAAAGTGTTATGAAATTCGTAATGAGCAAAACTCTTTTGGCTTTGGTTTTTCATTTACTATATGTTCAAAAGATGGCAATTCTAGAATATAGGCCCTCTCCCTCAAACATCCTGTCAGGATGTTCAGTCAAGTGATACATAAGGAAAAAGTGCCACTAGCTGAATCACTAATTCTGTATCTGTACACTGCCTATGTGTCTGTCCCTCTACAGACTCCTGACCAAGAATTCACCTCAACCAGCCCTGCTCAGGCTTAAAATCTCCAGTGGGTTCTACTACAAAGTGGTCTAGCTGCAAAAGACAGGGTTCAAATACTTCCATCATCATATCACATTGTTTTCATTTAAACTTTCTCAAGGAAGAAGATATTCCCTCTCAACGGGACATGCATTTCCCAAGCTAACTGATGCTGATACTAAACACAAACACAAACACATCCATTGTACAATTTAAAACACTTGGCCAAACTGCAGAAATAAAACTACCAAATGCATTAAGAAAGACTCACATCTGGCATTTCTGTAGAGAAGGAAAGGGTCCTGGAGCTGGAAATCCAGGTCTTTAGTAATGGGTTCTGTCCTGTTTTCCATGCTCAACCTATTCATAATGGTGAACCCATGCTTTGGAGAAGCAGACCTAAAAATCACAAGGGGTGGGGAGGATATCAAAAGACAAGTTATTCAACAGAAGTACACTTTTAGTAGAACTAGTATTTGAATGTCTCTCAACCTTTTTGCATATATATATATACAGCTTTGTGCAAGCAGACTGTACACATACAAAGCAATGATTCTTTTTAAGGTTTCTTTTTTTTAATGTTTATTTATTTATTTTGAGACGGAGAGAGAGTGAGAGAAACAGAGTGAGAGACAGAGAGAGAGAGCTAGCAGGGGAGAGGAGGAGAGAGAGAGAGAGAGAGAGAGAGAGAGAGAGAATTCCAAGCATGTTCCATGCTCAGCATGGAGCCCGATGTGGGGTTCGATCCCATGACCCAAGCCAAAATCAAGAGTCGGACACATAACCAACTGAGTCACCCAGGTGCTCCTAAAGCAATGATTCTTTACTATTGACTAACAGAATTAACGTACTAATTTATGCACCACTTCATATGTAACACATACAGCATGACTGCCATTGCTGTTCCTTTGGCAAAATCAAGTCCTACTCATTTAGCTATGTATGTAGAGATATCTTGTTTCCCTATCTAGGTTGTAAATTCCTTTAAGGCAGGAATATTAACCACTTTAAAAAATTACAGACACACTTTTGAAGAATCTTGATAGTTAATAGAGAATGTACATCACAATCATTATGAAGAAATTTTTCATAGAAAATGTTAGCGTCAGTTTGAAATTTAGAGAAATGATGCCACTCACTCTGGTCAACAAACTTGTAAAGAGATTCAGTACAATTAAAACATTACAGAAGTAAGCAAACAGCTTCACAGATAAACTAGTATAAAAGTTTTTCTCCATAAAAATGTGGCATTTAGTGATTTTTATTTTTTGTTTCATTGAATAAACTGTCAGTGCCTACTCTGTCAGGCAGAAAGAGCCCAAATTTTACACCAAGTAGAACTCTACCAACTACATGTGCATTTGTCTACTCTTGGGTGACAGCCATATAGTAATCCAACTGTGCAACTTCTGGTGACAAATGAAACACCAAATGCTTCTATGCTGAAAATGAAGCAAGCAGAATTCATTTATTTACTTGAAACTAGGGCAGCAGGGTAACAAACCCACAGAAATGTTGTGAGCAATAGGAAGAAAAGGTGTTCATGTTTTAATTTTATTTCACCTTAGCCATTTAATGCTAATAAAGAAGTAAAATAAAGCTACAGTACCACCTACAGAATTTTCTTTTGAGACTTCCAATTTTAAAGTTGATGGAAGGCAATCATTGTGTAACTTATTTTACAAAGAGGTAAAGCAGAGGTGGGCGTATAACCAATACTAGAAATAATCATGACAATCATTTCAACTTAAATTCTCAGAAAGTATGAAAAGTGAGTTCCAGAGATCTCTGACAGAGGGTCCTTTGGAAGTGTCAAGCTCAAAAATCACCAGTGGGTGTCTCTATGAACTCTCTATCACAGAAAGCAAGCCATGGGAGGAAATAAAGAAATAATTTTTAAGTGTTTTAGGTGTTTTTATACAGAATCAGAATTTGATTCTTCAAGTATTTCATTATCACAATAGGACCTCACCTCTGTAATAGTATGGTTATTATATCATCTCATAATTTATAAAATAGGCTCAGGGGATAAATGTGCCAGTTGCTTTAAAGCAATATCCGTAACAGAAGTCAAAATATTATCACCAGCAGCTCCATTACCTGTACTAAACACTCCCTTCTGACTTTTATGAGCTTTCTGTCATTCTCTACTGAGAAAAGACCTCAACATGCTAGAATCTGACATCTATCTGGTCGGCGGTGGGGAGTGGAGGGGGGTTGGCGCACCTCCCCCCTAGCGGCGGGGGGGAGAGGAGAGAGATGGGAGAAGCTCCAATGTTGAGGAGTTAGATTTGGGGAAGAGATTAAGGAACAGGGAAAGAGTTGTTTCTCAACTTAATGGTTTAACTGACAGCTCCATTTGGAACTCAGAGTATATTAAGAAATACTTGAGAATGCAAAATCTACATTTTTTGGGGGTACAAAAATGTATAATTTGTTAATCTTCTGCAGATGAGAGAGAGAGACCCTACTAAAAATCCCTAAAATAAATCATTAATGTATATGAACATATCTTTTCTTTCACTTCTCAAAAGATTAATACATGTGAAAAATGAATGAGAATGTGTCATGTGTGTGCTTAGCATATATCAGAGTTCAACCGTTTGGTTTTCTTTCCACACTTCAGAATTCTCAAGAGTAATCTACACTCTACTGAAGACACTCACTTGGTGGTATGCTCTGGTACTCTGGAATGTAAACTGAAATAGCCAAGGCTCTTGGGCACTCCCACTTTTCTGAAACCTTGAAGAAACTGGACCTCCTCCTTACCTCGCTCATCCATTCCTTTGTTTCCGCTCCCACTATGGCCTCCGCCTGCACCTGTACCTGCACACTCTTCCACCATTCCTGCATGGTGCCCACATCTGGCCTCTGTACCATTCTCATTTTGCTTGTATTTGTACGGCTGGCTCTTCTCGATCTCTCTGGGGCCCTAAAACTTGACCATTAGCTTTTGTCACTTTCCTGTCCTTCAGGGAACACTCATTCTCTCATGGCTTCAATGACCAAATTAAGGCAGATAACTCCAAACTCTGTATCTCCATCCCTGACCGGGACCGGGCATCTCCACCTGAATGCCCTGCTATCATTCCAAAATCGTTATTTCAAAATAAAATTATTTTCAGCCCAGATTCTCGACCTCCTGTCTTTCCATTCTGCTCCTGGTTCTGTCAGTTTTTCAGTCTTCCCTTTCAAAACTTCCATTTTTTAAATTTATTTTAAAAATTTCATCACTCCTTCTATATGTGCGATGTTTCAAGAAATCTTCTCCAGCTCCACTCCTACCATTTTAGTCCCTCCCCTCCTCATCTCATATCTACTCCACTGCAATAATCTGTCCAATGTCCTAACTCCAACTTCTGGAATCAGTGCATCTTCATAATGCTAATGTACTGACTTACCCCACACATTTTGCCGGAACTCTATTACTTCCCTGGTCATAAACCTTCAAGGACTCCCTACTGCTAAGAAAATAAATGTCAAAATCCATAGTCGGACATTCTAAGCCAGCAAAATCTCTTCACCCTCACTGTCTCCTAACTAACATAAACCAGTAAAAACTCTATGCAGCCAAAAGTCATTTTCCTTACTGTTCCTTCACCACGCTGGGTTCTATGCCTCGGCTTCCAAAATTCTTCCTGCTGAGACAGCCCTTCCCTCTCCCCTATGCAAGTCAAGTACTACCTTATTCCTAAGGCCTACTTGAGACTCAACAATTCTAAAATGCCTTCCAGAATCACAGTAGCCTATTCATTGCTTATAACCTATCAACTGGCCCTGAGGATAGGCTATCTGTATTGGGGTTTATGTTTATTTGGGGGGGGGGTATCTTTAAATATGAATGTGTAAAAAATATATACTTGCGTGTGTGTCTCTCTGTGTGTATGTGTGTGTGTGTGTGTGTGTGTGTGTGTGTGTGTATGCATTTTCTATCTCCCCAGTGAAACTGTTTGCTCTCAGGGCACCTGGGTGGCTTAGTTGGTTAAGTGCCTGATTTTGGCTCAGGTCATAATGTTATGGTTTGTGAGTTTGAGGCCAGTGTCAGGCTCTCTGCTGTTAGTGCTGAGCCTGCTTCAGGTCCTGTCTCCCCTTTCCCAGCTTGTGCTGTTTCTCTCTCTCAAAAATAGATACTTAGGGGCACCTGGGTGGCTCAGTCGGTTGAGCGTCTGACTTCAGCTCAGGTCATGATCTCACGGTCTGTGAGTTCAAGCCCCGCAGCACGCTCTGTGCTGACAGCTCAGAGCCTGGAGCCTGCTTCAGATTCTGTGTCTCCCTCTCTCTCTACCCCTCCCCTGCTCATGCTCTGTCTCTCTCTCTGTCAAAAATAAACAAACATTAAAAAAAAATTTAAAAAAAAGATACTTAATATATAAATATCAAAAAAAAAAAAAAGAAACTTTGCTCTAAGAGGGTTTGTACTAGGCCTTTGTATTTTATCTTTGTCCTCCCACTGACAATGATGGGCCTTAGCTATGACATTTTATATGAATAAGACATTTAGCTATTAAGACAATATACATACTACATGTACCTGTGCCCATATATGATGTTAACAATTTCTTTTTTTTTTTTTCAACGTTTTTATTTATTTTTGGGACAGAGAGAGACAGAGCATGAATGGGGGAGGGGCAGAGAGAGAGGGAGACACAGAATCGGAAACAGGCTCCAGGCTCTGAGCCATCAGCCCAGAGCCCGACGCGGGGCTCGAACTCACGGACCGCGAGATCGTGACCTGGCTGAAGTCGGACGCTCAACAGACTGCGCCACCCAGGCGCCCCTGATGTTAACAATTTCTGATACAAATGACAAAAAACTTGAGTTTATTAAATCTATCCTGAAACACATTCTATTAACTATATAATGGAAGACTCAAAGACATGTTGAATTTTGGTGCATATTTCTTTAAAGAGTCAAAGGCGGGTGGGTGGTGAGGTGACCAATAAAACCTTTTTCCAAATAATGATTAAATAATCTGATATTCTTAATAGTGTACTTCTCTCCTTGCCAATGCATTATATTCAAGGACCTTGTACCATTAATTTGAATTAAAGGATAAATACTTAATACTATTTTTAAAAGAATGCAAAGGGGCACCTGGCTGGCTTAGTCGATTAAGCATCCAACTCTTGATTTCAGCTCAGGTCATGATCTCATGGTTTAGTGAGTTCAAGCCCCACATCGGGGTCTGCACAGGCAGTACTTAGAATTCTCTCTCCATCTCTCTCTGCCCCTTCCCCACTCATGTTGTCTCTCTCTTTAAATAAACTTAAAAAAAAAAAAATATATATATATATATATATATATATATATATAAAAGAACACCAAGATTTAAGTTTGTCTGTATTGGAGTTTAAGTTACATTCTGCAATTAGTATTCCTCACATGCTACCAGGTGACATTACTCAGTATTCTCTTCTTTATATCAACTAATAACTTCAAACTAAGATTCAGGTTTTTTTCTTCTTTTTGACATAAAACTACATTTGAGGAAGAGGGACACAATGGAGTCAACATATTCTTTCAAAGACTGTCAGTTTCTTTGTAAAAGTAAAATTTTCTTACCTTGTGTAAACAAATAAAGTTCCTTCCACATCAGTCTTTTCCTAAAAAAAAAACACAGCAAAATATATATATTTTTCTTCATTAATAGTAACTTTCACAGAAGCTAGAGAACATTCCATTTCAAGTAGGGCCAATCTATGTAATATTCCTAGGACAAGGAGGAAAGCAGTACTGCCTCAGCCTGGCAGTAGCCCTGCTGATTCGACATCGACATCGGGAAGCATCCATTCTCCTTTTGTCGTTTACAAAATAAACTGTCATTATCTCTTTTCACCAAAGACAGGGACAGCAACACACCTCTGGCTAAAACAATACAAAAATTTGCTCCATGGATTTCATTTGAAAGAGGAGACTAAAAGTGTGCTGCCTTCTCTATCCTGTGAGCGGAGTATATGCCAAGCTGCGCAAATCACTCATGTCTGCCTTTCATTACGCTTCTATTTTCTGGGTTCATTATCTCTTGCCATATCCTGTCACCTAGGAGAGCAGATGATCTGCCAATAATAACTCTACTTTGACTACAACATAGAAGAGTGGAACAATGCTGTAGTTTTCAGAAAAATTAATCACCAACGTGGTGTGGAATATTTAGAGTCTAGTTTGGATCTTTGAAATCAAGTTAGAAACATTGCCAGGCTAGGACTCAAGAAATGTCACAGAATCTGGTTAAGTGGTAAAGTGAAAGTGTTCAACTCATTTCAGTTCATTTGGAAAGGCTCTCTTCCATCTCTCTGAAGACAGGGGCCCAGGCCATGATGAAAATGTTTATCAATATAATGCATAATAAGTTTTAACAGTAAACAAGTTATAATTCAGAATTTCAAAGGTACTTTTGTTATTTACATGTTTTAGTTTCAGCATTCCATTTAACCTAATATTTTACTATTAATCTCTATTATCAAAATCATTTGAAATTTAAGTACACTGTAGTTGTGGGAGAAATATACTCTTTAAGAACAAGGATATATAATATCAAGTGGTAATTTTTTAAAGATATATTTTTAAATAATCTCCACACCCAACATGGGACTCAAACTTGCAACCCTGAGAATAAGAGTCACATGTTCTACCGACTGAGCCAGCCAGGTGCCCTACATGCCTTTTTTAAAGGCACATAAGGGGCACCTGGGTGGCTCAGTCGGTTGGGCGTCCGACTTCGGCTCAGGTCATAATCCCACGGTCTGTGAGTTTGAGCCCCGCGTCGGGTTCCTTGCTGACAGCTCAGAGCCTGGAGCGTGTTTCAGATTCTGTGTCTCCCTCTCTCTCTCACCCTCCCCTGTTCATGCTCTGTCTCTCTCTGTCTCAAAAATAAATAAAACGTTAAAAAAATATATAAAGGCACATAAAACATTGGAAGCATGATCCTCTCACAAGCTCAAGTGATTTCAACAATTTTCTTGGTCACCTTAGTTCGGTGGGTCTTAAAAGTATGGTTCCCACATCAACAGTATCAGCATTGCCTGGGAACTTATTAGAAATGCAAATTATTAGGCCCCTCCCCAGGCCTATTGAATCAGATGCTGGGGTGCTGCCTAGCACCCTTTTTTATTAAGCTGTCAGGTGACTCTGATGCACGCACGCTTTGTGAAAACCACTGCCTTAGTTCAGTAACATATTCTCTGCCCATAGAACTATATCAGGAGTCGTGAAATCAAAATCCACTATGCCCCAAATTATATCAAACATCACCATTGTTTTTTAAGAGCAAATAGATATTAAGAGTAAATTACTTAACAAGAATTGTAATCCTCATTATTATAGAATATGCAATTAGAAATAACTTAGAACAGTGAAAGCAACTTTAGTCAGTCTTTTCTCTAATACATAAACATTGGTAAGAAAGTTAGAGTTCATTCTTAAACTGGATTTATTATAAAGTTCATATAAATCACTTCAGTGTACTGTGAAAAATATCCTTATTTCTCAAATGTGGTCTTTTGCCACTGTGCTTTGAAAAATACTGAGTCAAGGGGCGCCTGGGTGGCGCAGTCGGTTAGGCGTCCGACTTCAGCCAGGTCACGATCTCGCGGTCCGTGAGTTCGAGCCCCGCGTCGGGCTCTGGGCTTATGGCTCAGAGCCTGGAGCCTGTTTCCGATTCTGTGTCTCCCTCTCTCTCTGCCCCTCCCCCATTCATGCTCTGTCTCTCTCTGTCCCAAAAATAAATAAACGTTGAAAAAAAAATTACAAATAAATAAATAAATAAATAAAATAAATTAAAAAAAAAAGAAAAATACTGAGTCAAAATTAAAAAAAAAAAAGATACAGAAACATTATTACTTACCTTTCCTTGTGTAAACAAACATGGTTAATTCCTATCTGTTGAGAAATCTATATCCTGGGTGCACTTCTAAGAATTACTTAAACTGCCACAATATTAATCATTGAGAAAATGGCTACCATAGAACAATAAATACTACCCAGTCTAAAAATTTGTGGGCATTCCTAAAGTTCAACTGGTACAGTCAGCAAGTATTTACTATTCCACAGAGACTTTAAGAATAATTTGTAAATACTGGGGCACCTGGGTGGCTCAATCAGTTAAGCATCTGACTTTGCTTCAGGGCATGATCCCTGGTTAGTGAGTTCGAGCCCCGCATCGGGCTCTGTGTGGACGGCTCAGAGCCTGGAGCCTGTTTCAGATTCTGTGTGTGTGTGTGTGTGTGTGTCTCTCTCTCTGCCCCTTCCCCACTCACACTCTGTCTGTCTCTCAAAAATAAACATTAAAAAAAAAAAAAAAGAACTTGTAGAGATTAAATTTTTGGTATTATTACAAGAAACTGAAATTGAGATATGTACTGGTGAAGAAACTAGACTAAGAGCCTATATGTATTGCTAGGGGCACATGCTGCAAGGCCAAAACACTTTTCTGTCTTCCAGTATTTGACCTTGGACTGTTTCATCTTAGTGATCCAAACCAGGATGTTTCTATGGATCGGTACACATAAAGCTAAAAGCTTTTGACTTGTTTCCTTTCTTCCTCCATGAAGTAGTAATAGAAATTACCTTTTCTTGAAAAAAATAAAAATAAAAAATACTTTAATGCCCAATTTTAGTTTTGAAAATCCAGAATCAGAAATATAAAAGGCATGTTTCTTCTGAAATTATTCTCCAACTGGTAATAAGCAATTTTTTTTATTCCACATATAAGTGAAATCATATGGTATTGGTTATTTCTTCCTCTGACTTATTTCACTTAGCATAGGGTCCTCAAGGTAATGGACCCCCCTCTTGATAAAGTGTTAAAGAATTTGTGGCCATCTTCAATTGCAACAGGTCCTTAAAAAGTTAGAAATTCTCTGTGAATGGCTAGGGGCCATACTTCCACACCCCAGTACCACCGGTCTGGTCTCCCTGTATAATGAACATCATCAGGCAACAGCTTTGGAGTTTTCCTTGGGATCCAGACCCAAGTAACTAGGTAAGTCTGCACCAAACAAAATCCACTGTGTCCACTGCCCACCATGAGCACTGTCATCAGCATTGAATTAAAGTGTATAAGGGATTTCTTAAATCCTGATTATGAATACTCAGAGTAGGGTTCTTTCCAGGTCACACTGGGCTAGCTAGTTTATTCTTTATTCTTAGCTAGTTTCTCCACTGAAAAGATAGAACCAGTCTATACCACTCAGATCTTGATGGAAAACACATATTTTTTTGAGAAAACATATTTTAAGTGCTCTGTTACAACTGGATAAAAAGGACTTTGTTAATGTAAATTCTGATCTATCATAGCTGAACAGCTCTAATTCATGCATGCATTTTCCTGGTGCCTCCAGAGTTATCCAAGGGTAACCAGATTTTTTTCCCTCCCGGGCAAAGCCCAGGGTTGAGGTTCTGGGGTATAGTTAGAACAAGATTGTATTAGGTCCTCCTTAGCTCCTCCAGGCAAGGAGGACTTCTATGTTAAATCATTAGTTTATAGTTCTGGGGAATTTTAGCTAAAATTTTAAAAGTACAATTTAATGGTTTAATATTACACTTCATTATAAAATCTAACATGTATTAAAAAACTAAGCAGTTCAAAATTTAAAATAATAAAATGGAATATAAAACAGTGCTAGCTGGCAAATTACTGGGACTTGGCATAGTATTTGGCACTTTTGAAACAACCCAAAGCAATCTCTGCATTACTGATTATCTATGTTAATATAATGAAAAAGTAGGTCTCCATTTATCCTCATAAATCGGTCTCTCTCAGTCATGCATGTAGCACCTAAGTCAACTGTGAAGCTTTTAACAAATAGCAAATGCCTGGACTTCACACCCAGAGATTTTGATCTGGCAGGTTACACCATTTAAAATTCCAAGTGATTTCGATACACAGAAAACTTAGAAAACCACTAGCTGGAAACAAGAGGACAAAAGTCACTCTGAAGCAATTTCTCAAACTCAGCACTTTCAACATCTGGGGCCAGATAAATCTTTGTCACAGGGGCTTGTCCTGTGTGCAGGGTATTTAGCAGCAGCTCTTGCCTCCATCCTTTGGATGCCAGCAACAAGTTCCCTGGAGACAAAGTCAAAACTAGTTACAAACCACTGCTCTGAGGACTGACATGAAAATAAATAAGGTTATACTCTTCAACTGACACATAGGGATTTGGGGGGAGCAGTCTTTCCAGATAATGGGAAGTAGTTCCAGCTCTAAAATTCCCATCCCAGTCATGACATAATCTTTCTTAATCCCTCCTTCAAGTACCTCATTTTCTATCTACCCTTTATTACTAATACCTCCTGCTCTGAATGCCTGAAGTCATTCTTCATCTATTACAGTGTAGAAAGAATTCTCCTCCGTTACATCGCATCTGCTTTCTTGCATATACTTTCACCTCCAATCTCAAGACTGTTCGTTAAACTTTTATTGGGTTTATATTCAAAAGGGTCCCATCCTGAGGCCAAGTGATGGCATATGGAGAGAGTGGTGACAAACCATTTACCCTCAGCAACTGCTCTGCATCTGAACTAGGTCTCTTTTTTCCGGCTACCACAGCCTTGAAGATCAGTACTTTGAAAGAATGACCTTTTACTGAATGAAATATGCCCTGTCTGAAGGCAACAAGTCCAGGAAGCAGGAAAATATAACTCCTGTAAATAATGCACTGTGACACTTCTGCCTTTTGATGAGGCTTTAGAAGGACTTCACTGGCTATCTAATAAACCTCTGTAACTATTTTAACAGGTATCTATCACACAGATCCTGTCAAAAGCCTATATAGGGGACAATTGTTTTCCATGATTAATGTTCTCCTCTACATGTTAACAATATCTCAAGATTCTCCAGACTCTAATCCCACTGTCCAGTCAGTTCACAGGACTATACATCCTCTGTCCTTATCTACTACAAAATTACCTTGATAGAATTAACACATGCCTTCGGCCTTTTTTTTTTTTTTTACTAGAGCAGTATAATAGCAATACAGGTGTAGAATATCCTTGTATTTTTGCTAAATTGTCATTGATGAAATTATCCAGTACATTGCTTAATGTCCTTTAAATAAAGACCCAGGTGACAAATTCTCCTGAAAATTAGGAAGAAATAACCCCTCTCCTGACCAAGTGGCATACTTTCTATTACAGAGCAATGAATATTAAAGAGCTCTCCCATTTTCCTTTTTTGCATGATTACTAGGAGTACAGACCTAAATTCCTTGCTCCATTCCAGTAAATTTCCTCAGTTAAGAACTTCAGGCAAAGCTATTCTCTTCTCCCCCATTTTTGGGTCTCCTTTTTAAATTTTTTTTTTCAACGTTTATTTATTTTTGGGACAGAGAGAGACAGAGCATGAACGGGGGAGGGGCAGAGAGAGAGGGAGACACAGAATCGGAAACAGGCTCCAGGCTCCGAGCCATCAGCCCAGAGCCCGACGCGGGGCTCGAACTCACGGACCGCGAGATCGTGACCTGGCTGAAGTCGGTCGCTTAACCGACTGCGCCACCCAGGCGCCCCTGGGTCTCCTTTTTAATCTTTTTACTTTTGTTAATGATTTTCAGGTGAATTTTTATTACAGACTGCTCAAGATCCACACTAGAGATAAGGAGGCTATGTACATTTACAAATGCAAATGTTAAAAAATATGTGAATTTGTTCAATATGCATGTTTTCCTTGCTTGAATTTTGATGTCTTGGAGAATACATTTAAAAAATCACCTGAAATCCATTAATCTAGGCCTTATTCTTTATACTGTTTTCTAACTTATTTAAAAATGATGGATGGCTATATAATGGATGGATTAATATTATTTGGGACAAAAATCAATATGAGGAAAAGAGAAAAATCACATCTCTATATTCAAGTGGGTGGGTTTACAGAATCACACGCAGTAATTCCTGCAACAGGACTCAAGTGTCTTGTGCTCCTACCCCATTCTAATTGTGAGGAAAATTAAATTTCATCCCACTGCTATTTACTGGGGTTTTGCTTTGAAAAGTGCACTAAATAATTCAGCTCCCAAACGGACTCAGATTTTAAACCCATTTTGGTCTTGGTAGGCTGTGGTGTAATGATTATCCCAAGAGCGTCAGCCTCCTTCGAAGTGTTAAACCCAGCCCCATTTTGTCCTTGATCTCCCGATGCTTGCTCTTTTCTTGGTGTATTCCCTGAGTTCACAACTTCTACCAAGGTTTCACTTCTCGTCGTCCCATCTAAGACAGATGTTCCAGAACCAGAACTCGGTTTGTCCATCCGTCCCCTAACTCTGCCTCCCCTACAGCCACGTTTTACTGTAACAGAACCCTGCTTTACTTTCTCGTAGTACATCAGTCTTCCGGCCTCGAAGCATCAGGGCCCCTCCTTCCTTCAGCTCTCAGGGTCCCGTCCCTGATCGGTCTGGTCTCCCCACGTGGGGTATCGTAGATATTTAAGTCTTTTCCCCAACTTCAGGTGGCTTCTCAGAGCGGCCTCCCTCTCCCCCAAAACCCTCGGCCCAGGAGTCCAACTGCCACAGCTTCGGCCTCAGGCCGCGATCCACCACCATCCACCTCCACCCACCTCCAGGGCGTCAGCGTCTGGTCCCCCTCACCGGGTTCTGGAGCCCCGAGTCTGACCACCCCGTCCCCACCCCATCCCTGCCTGCACGGCCCCGTCGCGTCCGCACGCACCCACTCGTTGGCCCGATGGCCGAAAGTGTACAGAGCCACCTGGCTGGCTACGTCCACGATGCGGTTGATATAGGGGTCGTGGCGCTGCAGGGCCGCCAGGCTGATGTCGCGCCCCTTTCCCACCAGGCCGCCCGCTGCCACGGCCGCCATCTTCCCTCCCTCCCCGACATCAACCCCGAGCTGTCGGAAGCCACTCTCAATAGATCGCAGAACGAGCGAGCCACCTCGCAACCGAAAACACGCGGCGACCGCAAGTCCAGGGAGGCCTTCCTTCTCCAGCCATGCCCCCACCTCCTGTGACGGACGCAAGACATTACTAATCGATGGCCGCACTCCCGCCAGCGACGATCGTTGCCACTGGCAACGGCAAGCCCAGGCTGGAGGTCTGAATCCTGTACCCCCTCCCCAAGAGCTGTTTTCTTCTTCTGTGAGCCTTGGAGCTGCACGCGCAATAGGGTGTATCTCTTGGATGTGTTCGACGTCTTGGCATGTATTTTCTTTGACGCTCAGTGATCAAATCTATAATAATAAGCTTCAAGCCTCAAGCATTAATAACTGAGGAGAAACAGAACTGTGATTTCTGTAGGCGCTAACACCTACAGCTTCTCAAAGTGTGGTTCTCAAACCCCCTGGTAGTTCCTGAGACCCTTTCAGTAATCGGCCAGGTCGGAGCCATTTTCATGGCAATGCTAATATATATTTGCCTCTTTCACTGTGCTGACATTTGCACCAATGGTGCAAAAACCATGGCGGTTAAAAGTGCGGGTGTCTTAGGAAGAATCAAGGCGGCGGTACCACACTGTAAAAGCCAGTGTCACTTAAGAGTGTTCTCAATAAAGCAGTAAAAACTATTGACTTTAGTCTAACTCTTTGGTTCACTTTTTAAATTCTGTGTGAAAAAATAAGAAAGAAGTATGTTCAAAGCACATGTGCTGAATATGAGAGTACTGTATATTTGTCTCCATGAAAACACTTCTGTGCTTGAGTTAAAAGCCGAATTAGTATATTTTTATTTTTATTTTCATAGAACACTATTTTTACTTGAAAGAAAGATGGGCAAACTATGGTTATTCAGACATATTTGATAGACATTTTTTCAAAAATAAATAACATGCATCTGTCACTTTCAGGAAAACAAGGACAATTATTGTTGCCAATGATAATTTTTGAGCTTTCAAGCAAGAAATAGAAGTTTAGAAAACATATATCTACTACCACAAGTTGGACAGCTTCTCAGTACTTGAGGTCTTTTCTGATGATATCAGTAGGCATTTACAAAGTCTGTGATAAGGATTTGGTCTTTAAACCTTGAGAGAAGATGAACATTCGTCAGTTTGATTATGTATAACTGGATGTACCTTTTTGTTAAAATCTTTTAGTAAATGTTTAACATTTCTTTTATAAAGGAATTTGCCTTTGTATCTTGAGGCCAGTGGGCAAAGTCTACCTTTCCCAATATTTCAGGGAACACAGATACACCCTAGTTGTCTCCCTAGCAGTTGGTCCAATGCCTTCTGAATAGAAACTTAGTAAATGCTCACTCTATTGAACTAAACCATGAGATGCTTAAATTTACTTATTAAATGTCTTTTTTTTTTTTTTTTTCTTTTAAGAGCTCTTGACTTATAGAATACTGGAATCTGAGTTGGGATAAAAGGACCAAATATATCAAGTCCTGATCTTTCAGAGTTTACATTCTGAGGAAGATTGAAAAAATTGAATCTTTAAAAAAAAAAAAAAACTTTACATAGTGTAAGAAAAAAAGAAAAAGAAAAGGGGAAAAGCCTTGAGGATTAGAAATAACACTCAGAAAAAAAATAATAATGTCGCAATGACTTCAGCATTGCCATATCATTCATCTCCTGGCCCACAGAACTTTGTTCAGTTTTTTAAGATTGCTTTTCTCAGGGCACCTGGGTAGCTCAGTTGGTTCAGTGTCTGACTTATACTCAGGTCATGATCTCACATTTATGAGTTTGAGCCCCATATCAAGCTCTCTGCTGTCATCGTGGAGCCCACTTCAGATCCTCTATCCCTGTCTCTCTCTGCCCCTCCCCCGCTCATCCTCTCTCAAAACTGAATAAACATTTAAATAAATAAAATTATTTTTCTCCAAACTCTTTAAGCTCTAGCCTTCTAGGATAAAGACAGACTTCTACCTAATTTCTATTTGAATAACCTGTGTAAAACAGGTCATTACTTATCCAAATATACTAAATTGCAGGCTCTATGTTAGTAAAAAGACCATTTACAATAGGCGAATTCTTTTTTAATCCCTATCACTTCAACTTCCATTGGCTTCCACACTGCTGGCATACTTCCACTGTGTTTCCAGAAGCCTCATTATGATACCTTGAACATCTATTGGTAACTTTGGGGTTTCATGATTATTTTATAACTGTCATTATGAGATAAAACATGTGCTAACACTTGGTATTTAAATTTGTACACCACAATTTAAAACAAGTTTGTAGTATGATAAATAATGTCCAGGTCTGTGATTTTTATACCATTGCAATGACTAAGATAGAATTCACTACCTAATCCATAAAGGTAATTTCAGGAACAGAATATGTTTAACTTGTTTGAAAATAGGGATATAACTGAAAAATGTTTGGTTTTGTAGCTATGTATGAATACTTGTAAACAAATATAAATTGACTTTTTAGGGCATAATAATCTAGAGACAGAAATACACAGTCTACTTTATTAGTACTCTTTTCTTTATTGTGTAAATAACCTCTAAGTTTTGCATTTGTCCTAGTGTAGAATGTGTTGGAATGGAGGGGAAAGAGGAGTTTCCAGGATACCCCCTAAGAGTTTGTGATTCTAAAATGATTTAAACAAATTCTAATGTTCTGCTTGTGCTGCCTGTACAAACCATCCTTTTTGCTAGGAATTTTGTACTAAATGATGATAGAAGTAAAGAATTAATGAATGCCCTCTTTCTCCTAGTGGAGGGAATGGTTTGAAGCTGTGTTATCAATTGTTTTCAGCGCAAGTTTCCTTTCTTTTTCAGGCAGCAGTACATAGTGGAATAGGCACCCTTTGGAAAGGGGAATTACTTTAACCTCTTTTTATCAGTCACCTTCAGCAAGTGACCTCACCTGTAACTTCGGGATCCTAAATAATATCCACCCTACCAATTTTATAGAGTAAATGAGATCAAGTTAGAAAGAGTACTTGAAAAAGATTTGCAATCTATAAAATGTTCTGCAAATGAAAAAAGCTATTATGATTATGATTATTATAACTGTACTATCATTAGTATTATTTTCTTCATTGCTATTACTATTTATAATAGAAGCCCAGAAGGATCCTTCTTGTCCAATTACCTAGTCAATGCTCAGTTCATCTCAACAAAGTTTTGTGTGACAAGGAGCTCATTAATTCCACAGACAGTTCAGTCCTAGGATTTTTACAAGATGGAGAATCTGAGCTAAAACATACTTATCAGAAACTTCACAAAAAGAGGAAGAAATAATACAGGAGATATAGGTATGTGTTCCATGAGATTGCAAAGCAGTTAAGATGTGAAACAGCCATCAGAAGGCCTTGGAACAGAAGAGAAGGGGCAGATGTGGGGAAGGAAGGGACTTGGGTGAACCTTTGCTTGAGCCTGTAAAAAAGATCAGAATTTCTCCATTCTGGGCCCAGCCACTGACAGGATTAAGCCTCTGTTAACCTGACCTGGAGTGGACATGGGGTAATTGGAGCTCTTTGGTGTGGGGAGACCACGCATGCACATTCTCTTCTAATCTCACTTTGCCTTGAGTCTCTCTGCCAGTCCTACTAAACCTATTCATTTTGTCTCATTGTCAGGGGTCAGGCTTAGTGGGCTTAGAGGACCTCTATAATAACAACATATTTTCAGCTACTTCTCAATGCCCAGAACATACGAAAACATGAGGGAGTGCCTTGAATTCCACACAAAGAGATTATAGGCTTAAAATGCAAAAACCACTGTGGTAACTTATGTCCATGAGTCTCAACACCTGATTGCTAAGAAGGCTTCAGGAAAGGGTGAGTTGAGAGGGCAAAAGACAAATCTCCCTGTTTTGAGAGTGCACGGTGGAAGGGACCATAGAAGTTGCATAGACCCTCTGCTGTGTCTCTGCAAACACAGGCTGCTCTGTGTCACGTGATTCAGGAAGTTGTTATTGAATGTGGCCAATTTCATATAAAGCAGTTTGTACTGGGAGAGAGTGGGGATGTGGGGGATTCCTAGTGGACTGTCCATTAGGACAAGGATAGTAAACTGAGTTACCTCTCAAATTACCTAGGTATGTGTGGTGCCAGCTGGTTCACCATAGTGGTACCAATCCCATACAGGAATGGCTTTAGGATTATTTGACTTGGGTGGAGTCCACAGTTCTAGGTAAGTCACTTAACTTCTCTGTGGAATATGGTGATTGAATTAGAAGAATTCTTCCCCCTCTAGATAGCGTGACTGTCTGTTGAACCACCTCCATTCAACAAACCTGTAGATGATCCCAGAAACGATAATGAACAATCTGTTTAGTGCACAGTGAAATTAGGTCAAGATAGCAGCCCATTAAGGACTTAGTAATGTTACATCAAAACTGAGGGCTGAATGTTTTAATCAAGAAAGAGAAAGGTATCTTCATTCATTGTGCTCTCTTGTTCTCAGATGGAAGCAGTCATTGTTCAGAGGAATGAATGTTTATCCTTGCCACCCGTTAGGTCGCCTGCTGCCAGGAGTGATCACCTCTCTCTGCAGATTTTTAATCCAGGTGAAATACATATTTAAAGTTACCTTGATGATTTACATGGCAGCCTATAGGAAACAATCAGAAAAAGTGTCAGGGACTCCTGGCTGGAATACATTCAAAGAGTTTTCTAATTACTTATTATTGATGCAACCCTACCATGTCAGCTCTTCACTTTGTGATTGATTTTTTTCTTTTTAAACTAATGTATGAATCCCCAAAGGAAAAATGAACAGCAAAATATTGTGCTGAACTAAACTTACATCCAAGGAAAGAGGCTTTGGAAAAACAATTGGCTTGGTCAGAAGCTAGGACCCTAAAAAATGGGCTAGAGGCCTGAGGGGAAGGTACAGAATCTGCTGATAAAATGCTGATATTTCAAAACATTTCCCAGCCTGGACCCTTAAGCCTATCGTATGTAGTCTCTATTGAGTTGACAAACTACAGCCCACAGGCCAAATCTGGCCCTCTGTTTCCTAAATAAAGTTTTATTTGGGGCACAGTCATGTTCAATGTATTGTCTGTGGTTGTTCTCACCCTGGAACAAAGGAATTGAGCAGCTGCAACAAAAACCAGATGACCTGCAAAGCCTAAAATATTTACTATTGTTTCCTTTGCAGAAAAAGTTTCCTGACTCCTGGTATATTTGGTTTTTTGAAAT